TCTGTTTTTGAAAAAAAAAATAAATTTTAAATTGAAGATATTTTTTCTGATAATTTTTCGGGAGCAGGCCAACGTACCGCGAACCCATCGTACCGCAGAGCTAAATATAACTAGGTTCAAAATAGTCGAATCCGGGACGCCGTGGTTCGATGAATCGAACCATATCAGGTCGTCCCAGATTTGGCCATTTTGAACAAAGTTATAGCTCTGCGGTACATTGGCCTCGCGGTACGTTGGGGTGTACCCTAATTTTTCTTTCAAAAAATGAAAATTATTTAGAGTCAAAAGAGAAGTTCTTGAGAAAAAATTTCTCCAAAAAATTTATTTCTTTACCATAAAATTTTCGTTGTTCCTTTCCATTTTCCACAATTTTTCCATTTAATTTACTTCCTCCTTTATCAATAATTGTAGAGGATTTTTCTGTAGATGAAGAAGAATAATTAATTAAATTTTGATTTTTATTTAAATTATTTTCTTCTTCCTCTTCACCTTCTCTTAAAGAATTATCAAATGGAGGAAGTCTTCTTTGTTTCGAAATAATTTGTTGTTGTAACCAAAACATTGCTGCAGCTGCCCCAGCTATTGGAGAAGTTGAAATTGAGGGGAAATAATTTGAAAAAGGGGAAATTTGTGGAGGGAAAAATGTTTGGGGAATATTTGGGGAAAATTGGATAAAATTATTGTTTGGTTGAAATTCTTGTTGGATTGTTGAAGTTGTTATTTCTGTTTCCTCTTTATTTTCATTTAATAATGATGAAGCTTCAGGTAAATGGGAACGTTCATTTGAAGTGTGGCTACTTGTAGAAGGAATAGACTCTTCTATAATCTTAAATAAAAATAATAAACGTGGACACGAACTGTTTCTTAGATCAAAATCAAAATAAAAGTCAGATAGTTTAAGTAGGTTTGGGGTTTTCGGCCGACGTTCGAGTCATTTTTTCGGGCCTCATTTTTATCGGGCTAACTCAACTGTGCCTTTTTCAGGCCAAAATTCAATGACGACTCGTTCTTTCGGGCCGGCCCGACCGAGCCTCCAACCCTAAGTTTAAGTAATGGTTAAAAGCTTATCCTTAACATAATAAAATATTTTGAGAGATTTTCTTAAGATAAAGAGAGCCGATAAATTCTCCATCTCTACTACAATCCCCTTCTTTTTTTTAATTTTCAAATAATTTACTTGATTATTATTTTCACCACCAATTTCTCGATTTCCATTCCCAACTTCTTGTTTATTTAAATTATTATTTTCTTCTTTTATTTCTTCCTTTTTAAAATTTTTCTTTCTTTGTCGCCATTCTTTGTTTTCAAATTCGCCTAGAAGAGATTCCACGCTGAACATTTTTTTACTAAAAAATTTTGGAATAAATTAAGAATTTTTAAAATTATTATTGTTAAAGATTAAAAAGAAAGAGGTTATAGGATATTCTGAAAATAATTTCCTTAATATTTTCAATATTTATTTAATACCACACATAATTAAATATCCCTAAATTTTAATTAAGTATTAACTATTCCCCTCTTTTTTAATAACTATTCATTCTTGTTCTGTTAAAATGAAGAAAAATTTCCCCCTTTTAATTAATTAAATGAATTTATAAAGTTAAAAAGAGCAACTAAAACTTGTGTGGCAGTCGAAGCAATTACGATAATTTAAATTTATAAAATAATTATAGTAATAGTTTATGTTGATTGTCTCGTTAAAAATAATGGGAAGAAAAATAAAAAGAAAATTATGGAGAAAATGATTGGAAAGAAGAAAATAAAGTAAATTACTTTTTGTCGGAAAAAAATTCCGCCTCCCGTTGCCTTAAATGCCGCCGGGGATTTGGGAGGAGCTGTGAGGGAAAAACGTGGAAAATAAAATTTTATTTAATTTTTGGTGTCTGCGGTCTTTTAAAGAAGGAAGGCTCAATAACTTCTTAATGACAAGAAAAGAAAATAAAAGAGATCTTGGAATGAAAGGGGAGGGGCTTGCTAGATCTCTCTCTTTGATCTTTTAACGCCTAAATAGATACGCCCATATTACTTATAATAGTTATTTTTTAAGCAATAAAATCGTGTCATTTTTGTTTGTTTTTAAATGATTTTTTAAGTTTAACTATTTTTAATTAAAATATACATATTTAATTAATTTTAGTATTTGGTATTGGTAGTAAGAGTGAATTTGGTATGATGTTTTGATTAAAATTCCCATATTAGTACATAAAAGTTTTTTGGGTAATAGTGTCGTTTCCCAGCCCCATTTTTTCCTCCCAATTTTCTACCCTATGTTTGTACGGAATGGTCAAATTTTCCCCTTTCTTTCATCAAATTTGCCTTTCCATATTTTGCCTAAAAACAATCAAAAAGATTAATTTGTGATATTTAAAAAAGTATTAGAGTAATGAGAAGAATCATTTTCCCAATTAATAAAAATGGAAAAACTAAAGAATTTCAAACCTATTGATTTATATGAAAAATTACGTTTGAGTGATAATGATTTTCGATGCATGGCTTGAGAAGCTTGGACTTCTTCATGGAAAGAGAACTTGCTACAAATGTGGGGGTCGAACAACAATAAGTGTTAAGAAAGACGAAAGATATGGATGTTGGCGGTGTACAACCAGAAATTGTAGAGCAAGACAAGGTTCTTTTTTTCAAGTTTTTTTTAAAAAATCTTTACTCTAAGGTTATTTATGTGGTACCTTCTTTGAAGGTACGCATCTGACCACAAAAAAGGTGGCAACAACACTGAAACCTATAAAAGTTATCTCCCGGAATTTCTGTGGCGAAAACGATTTGGCAATATTGAAAATGTTTTTTATAATTTTTGGCATCATGTCTCACTTTTTTATCCTTGTGAAAGAACTGAATAAAAAATTAATCATTTTGATTGTTTTTAGGCAAAATATGGAAAGGCAAATTTGATGAAAGAAAGGGGAAAATTTGACCATTCCGTACAAACATAGGGTAGAAAATTGGGAGGAAAAAATGGGGCTGGGAAACGACACTATTACCGTTTTTTGTAATATCACAAAATTTAACAGTGTAATTTGAAGAAGTCTGTTATAATTTTTTGGATTATCCTTACAAAATATATAATTTAATTAGCAATACACATACATACCTAATTATAAAAATAAATTCTTAAAATAAAATTAAAAGCCTTTCTTTTCTTTTTCCTATTAAACAATTTAATCTTTGCCGAATTATTTGCAGATCTATAGCAATAAACAATATTATTTAAAAAAAAAGAAGGAAAGAGCCAATGTGTGCCAAATACGGAAATTGGTCCTTTCCTTTCCTTCTCTCTCTCTCCTTATCCAATAAAGACCGCCCTTCTTCCCCTTCTTTTCTTCCTCCAATTCCCTCCATTTCCTCCTTTTAAGGCGTAGATCCATTTTTCTTCCCCTTTCTGATTCCCTGTTCAATTGGTGTTTGTTTGCGCCAATTTCCATCTTTAAATTCCCGCTTTGGCCCTAATTGAGTTTAAAGAAAGCAAAAATGATAAGCAAATGAAAGTGAGGAATAAACAATCTTAAAAATGACATTAAATTGTTATTTGGCATTTTGTGGGCGAAAATTGGCTGTCTGGATTTCCTCTTATTTTTTTAAATCTTATAATAAAACAGAAATTTTTTAAAGAAATAAAAATATAATTTTAAAAATTTAACAAGATTGTTGATGAAACTTTATACTCTAGGGAATGCCAATTGAGCTTATATAAAATCTTTTTTCTAATAAATATTTATATTTATTTTGATATTAATATTACGAATTAACAAGTTTTTGCATAAATATATCAGGGATCGCGCCGACAGAAAACAAATTCCCGATTTCCGGAAATCATGAATCGGGTCGGCGCTATCCCTGATTTATCTTATTTAAGTTTCCGACTCACTGACAAATTGTTGGAAACTTACAATAAGTATTTACAATGATTAATTAAATAAATATCGAAATTTTTGAAAAAGTGTTATAATTACTTATGTATTTAAAAAATTCTATTCATTCCTATTTTTCTTTAGTATGATGATAATAATGAGTGTTAGGAGGTGTTCAACAAGTCTAAAACGTTTACCTTACTTTCGGTTTGCTTAACCGAGTTTTGACCAACTCTAATTTATTTCCTCTTTATTAAATTGTTATTTGGCATTTTGTGGGTATTTTTATACATATTAGATATATTATTTTTATATTAAATACACATAAAAACAAAAAATTAAAACTTATTAGTCCAAGTTGAGTAAATTTAAAATTAAAATTTTCTCCCAAAAATTCCAAAATAATTTTTTCCTTTTTTAAATATATGTATTTTAGCCTTTAGCAAAGCTGCTCTTAGCAATAAAAATACTTTTAAAGTTTTACCGAAAGGTGTTAGGCAAATACAAAATAAAACAATATAAAGTCTGCGGCAGTATCCATTTCTTGATTTAACCCTATGGGATTTTGGCTTTGAGCATTGGAAGGAAATTGACACAAATATTATGAAATTTCAATATATTCTTTTATCTTTTTTGTTTCTATTTTACTTAATTTTTTCTAAATTTAAACATTTTTCGGTAGGCTTTTGAGTCAAGCAAGCAAAGCCGTGGAAATATTATGAAGTTACTTTTGGATGTCATTCTTTAGAAGCTAATTAAAAATAAGTATGATTTTGTGAATTCTTATTAACATAAACTATTAGTCTATTATGTTAATTAAAATCTCTAGAAAAATTTATAATAAATATAAAATAAAACAGCTTTAAAATAAAACATAAAATGGATAGTATATGGCATTAAATTGTGGGCAAGTTGAGGCGAATAGTTAAAGTCAACTTTCTAATAAAGAATGTTGACTGTAACTATTTTTAAGACAGTTCAAAAAGGAAGAAAAATTAAAAGTTATTTAAAGTAAATAGAAAAAATATTGAGGAAAGTCTTCCTTTCATTTTAATTTTTTCAAAGATAAAAAATCTTTAGACTTTCCTCAGTTTATAATAAATAAATATTCTCTAAAAATTAAAAAAAAATTGTTAATTAACAGACGGGTTTATCATTCATATTAATATCCTCTCTATTTTCCACAACAGCAATATCATCTAGAGCACAAGCACCCTAAAATAAGATTGATAAAAAAATTTTATTTAAAAAATTACCTGGTTGGTCCGAGTATTTTCACACATGAAAATTACCTGTAAAATTAATAAATGACTTAAATAAAATTTTTGTGGATAAAAAATTGAAAGTTAGAGAAATTATTTTCAGAAATTAATGAAAAACTACAACTACTCCCCCTCCAATTTAAATTATAACTTAAAGAAGTTTGAACCACAAAACTTCAGACTCACAAATCAACTAACACAAAAATTTATTTTAAGAAATTTAAAACAACAAACATACCCTTTTAGTTCCTTTAGGACATACAAAAGTTCCCCATTTCCACATTCTATCAGAAACAGAAACAAATTTATCAGAAAGAAAAGGGCAATCTAAATTTCCTTCTTCTGTCGTTTCACTTCCAGTTGTAACAGAATTTAAAGCGCAACATCCCTTTAATTGAACTCCGTGTGTTCCTTCATAATATTGAAATCTAATTCTTGTTGGTTCTGATAAAGAATTTATATTATTCTCTGAATTTCCATTAATATTTGTCCATAATCCAGCTTTTTCACGCGGATAAAGAAATACTGCTGCATAAGAGCTAGACTCTAGAAAATAAATTAATTAATTAAAATAATTATTCTTTTTTAAAAGTATTTTTCAAAAATTAATTAAAAAAGTTAATTAAAAAAGTTAATTAAAAAAGTTAAAAAAGTTAGACAATGCTTTTCACACCTATTTGTAATTAATTAGAAATATATTAATGGTCGTTGCTTAATCATGCCTGCCTGTTAATTACAAAAAGAATCATTTCCCAAATTAATATTTATAGGTATGTATATAAAATTTTCCTCTTGCCTGTTACTCCTTGTCTAATTCCAGTAACTCTATTCATAAATTGTCCTTTAGTAACTTCAAATTTAGTAGTTAATCCACGTGCTGCATTTTCTGCTTCAACTGTATCTTTATATGAACAACTAGTTCCTTTAAAAAATATTTTCCCTTTATTTATTCCTTAATTCCTTTTACCATCTTCAAAAGAACATTTAATTGACTGGCATGTTGCAGAGTCAATAGAGGAAGTTGTTGATGGAACAACTACTTCATCTCCACTTTTTGCTATTACTCCATGAGCTTTTGCATTAATACTTTCTTCGCCTTTAAAAATAATTTAAATTTTAAACATTAACTCGGCCCAGAATCATTTCCTAAAGTAGGGAGTGGTACCGTTCGACTCAGCCCGTCGAGACGAATTGAATGACATATGTCACGTCCCGAACTTTTAGTACACTACACTACAGCCGAAAGAAAAAAAGGGGAAACACGAACTTAACTATTACCAAATTAATAACAAATGAATTTAAAATCTAACTTTAATCAAGAATCCTATTTTCCCGAAATATTAACTATCTTAATCCCAACCATCTCTTTAAATAATTAGAATTTAAGTAATTTATGGATATTAATTTTTCATAAACGAATAAATAAATAAAAAATTTTTTTTTAATTTTTCACCTTGTGATAATGGAACAGGTTCCCTATCAACAGGGGGAATTCCTTCTTCAACTTTGTCTGAAACAAGAACTATTGAAGATGAAGCAGCTGAACCTGAAGCAGCCGACTCTTTTGGAATTTTGTTTTCACTTAAAAATAATTAGGTATTTAATATTTATTTTTGAACCCTTAATATATTTACCTTTCGGTAATTTCTGGTCTTGAATCCTCTTTTCCTTCCAGATTTCTTTCATTTCCTCCATTTTCTGTTTCTTCAATTAAAGGAATCGTTGTTGTTTTTATTAAATTTTCTGTTGTTGTTTTAATTTTTTTAGTTGATTTTATTGATATTTTTTGTGTACTGCTAGTTGCTGTTTGTGTAGGAGGGCCAGCACAATCTGGGGGTCTTCTCTCATAAAGAATTTCAATATCATCCAAAAATGCAATATCCCCTATTGTTTCATCAATAAAATTACTGGCAACAAAAACAATCTAAAAAACAAATAAATTATTTAAAAAAGAATTAGAAGTTTGCCTTATTATTTTTTAAAAAGTTGGGGAATCTAAATAAATAAAGATCAACATCTGATCATTTTAAATCTTGGTCTATTTTTCTTTCTAGTAATCTTTGTATTTTTTAAATCAAAATTTAAATTACGTCAACATAAGAAGCTTTAGGTAATGCCAATTCTGTATAGGCCACATGTCCAGGCGATGGAAACTCCTGGCAGTTTAGTAAAGGATTGAAGCCTAAAGTAGCTGGAAATGATTCTCTCTGACAAACCTTTAGAAAATAACTTTTTTTTAATTTTTTTAATTAAATTCTACTTGAAGTAAAACATTAGATGATTGCCAATGTCTAGCTCTAACTTTAATTGGAGAACTTGCACAAGTTATAGCACAAGAAGAAAGTTGGGCTTCATCTGAAGGACCTGCCCCTTTTGCATAAGCAAACTATTTTTAAAATAAAATTTATTTTTAATTTTAATTATTTCTTTTTTACCAAATAACGTCCTTTCATTGAAATATTTCTTAAATGGATACTTTCTGGAGTACCCTGAACTAAATACCAATCAATTTGATCATCACTGGGTGTTGGGATATTTGCCCAACAACAAGGTTCTCCTTCAAAGTTGCAACTCAAAGCCTCACCTAAAAAAGGTCTAAAAGTCTAAAAATTGTTTCAATAAATTTTCTTATCTAATGATTAAAAAGAATTAAAATTGATGGTTATATAAAATAAAGGTTTCTCTTATAATTTTGATTATAATGCTGAAGATGAATTAATTCGAACAATAAATTTTATTTTTAATATAAAATAAAATAATTATTTTTATTTCAAAAACCAACCATCAACTACAGGACCACCACCCTGCGAGTTATAGCCTTCCGATCCAAATTCGGCTAACCCTACACGACTTCCAAGTAATGCTTGGGCTGACTGGCCAATTGGAGGTTCCCCTCTAGTTCCGATTGGAGTTAAAGGTAAATTTGGAGCTCCTCTAGCAGCCGCATTAGCTGGGCCACCTCCTCCCCCACTTCCTCCTCCAGCTTGATAAGTTGGGGCAGAAAATGCAGCTGGTGACATGGATCTTTGGCCTGAGGATATACAACTTAGGGCTGAAAAGATAAAAATATTTATGATTGAGTTTTACAAGAGTAATTTTAGAAGATATTAAACGAGAATAAAACAATTTTTGATAAGAATTTTTATTCAACAAGAAAAGGGGAGAAAATTAAAAATTAATTTTTTTTCAAGGTGCTCTACCTTGTGCCGTCCATTGAAGTAAAAATAACGCTGCTTGTGTATAATAAGGATAACGCCATATTTGTCTTCTCCTTTTGTGCATTTTGTATAGTATATTTTTAAATAATTTCTAAATTTCCAATCTCTTAACAAAAAAACAATAATTATTACAGTCAGAATTTAAATAGTTATTTATTTTTACACTCTTCAAAGATATTGGATAAATTAATCATCGAATAGATTGATAATAAATACATTATTTAATACGACATAAATTAATGAGGGTTTGTTTAAAACTGTAGCTAGCACAAAAAATACAAGTTATTTAATTAATTATAATTTCGTCCAAAATCAGCCAATTTATAATATGTATAACGAGAAGCTCTTTTGAGAAATAATATAACATTTATTATTAGAAAAAGCACCGCTATAGGTATATGGAGTAGAATCTGCTTTAAATTAGGATTAAAATTATAAATAAAAAACTGATAGTTAGCAACAAATATTTAATTTAAATTAAGTTTATTTTCTTTTTATTTAGAGAATTTAAAGATTTTTTCTAGGAATGAATTGGAAAGATTCACTTTCATCCACAATTATTTATTTATTACGCACGAGCAATATATCGGCGTAACAAAAAAAATGCAATATTTATTTATTAGCAAACTTTTTTTAAAAAGAAAAATCTTGGAAAGAAAATAATTCGTGATCTAAAAAATTCCAAAAAGTTTTTAGTAAAAAGAAGATGGCGCAAATTTTGAGTAATTTTGCGCAAGATGAATAATATATTGAGTGAAATTTTGAAAAGAAAAAGGAAAATATAGAAAAGTGAATGAGAGGATTTATAAAAAAATATTTTTTGTTGGCAAATAAATTAATGTTGAATAAATTTTAATTTTTTTAAATAATTTTTTCTTAAAATTTTTTTTATAAATTACATATTGGCTCGGATACAATGAAAATTTATTAATCAAAATTGAATTAAAGTTATCTTTTCATTAAGCGACTACCTAATTAATGAATCTGTTTTTAGTAAAAAATGAAATTAAATGAAAATTAATTTAAAAAAAATTATTTATTTAAAATAAAGATTAAATATTATAGTAGAAATTAATTTTTAATTAAATGGATCATTTAAGAAGAAAAATAAATAAAATATGCGGATATATTAAGGAAAGAAATCATCATTAAATAAATATTTTAAGAATGAACGGGATTTTTAAAACAAGATTTTATGTATAATTATAAAGAAATTTGTTTGAATTATTTGAATTGTTTCTCTGAGATGAAATAAAATAAGAATAAAATTATAAAATTTAACAATTCTATGTTTGTGTTATAGTAAGTATTATGGCTTTTAAACACAATTAAGTAATAATATTTTTATTAAAAAACTCAAGAAAAATTTAGACTCTTGTCCAGTTTATACAATCTAACTTTGTGTGCCCAAAAAACCCTCTGCATTCAATCAAATTTATATGTGTATGTCCAATCAAAATCCATACGTCCAGACTTTATTATAAATGGTCCCCTAATCAGTGGATGTAAGGTAATTGTGGATGTAGGGTAATTCGTTGGCTTGATCAACCCATGTTAATTCCTTGGACTGTAATTTAGCCTCTGAAATATTTTTTGGACGCTTATAAAAATTTAATTGAACGAAACTCATAAAGTGGATAAGAGACCAAATTTCTTTGCTTTATTCCTTTAATTTGAGGTATTTTCTATTACAATAAAAATTAGGATGGTGATTAAAAAACATATTCTGACGGAATATTTTAAAGAACGTTTTATTTAGAATATATATGTATGTATACCTCTCTAATATTAGATCATCATTTAATATTTTTAGGATAATTTTATTGATTGTATATGTAGTTTTTATTAAAAATTAAAAGAAAAAATTTTGCCGACAAATATCAACTGGTTAGAAATTTTTCAGGATTGAAAGATCATCTCTAAAAAAAGGAGAAAAAAGAAATTAATGCTCGCCCCAATCCTTTCGAGCAACATGGATGGCATCTTTAAATAAATAAATTCTTCTAAATGGTATTTCTCTCTCTCTCCATACACGCGACATATAAAAAAGCAAGTTTTGGGTTAGAAGAAGCTAAAGAAATAATTTGGAGAAAAAGTTGGATTGAGAGAATGGTGGGAACAAAGAAAAAGTAAAAGAAGAATAATTTTGGCGCTTTATTTTAATCTCGGAAGAAAAAAATTTAAGGAAAAAATAATTTAATAAAAGAATGAAAAGTGTGAATATTGGGGAAGAGAGGAATTGATGTTTGACTGCTTGAATGATTATTTATTCGCCTTCGAGATTGGAGAGAGGAGGAGTCTTCACTTTCTTCCTTAAAACGGGTTATTTTCTAAATAATATTTTTATTTAGTCTTTATTTTTTTTATTAAGCTAAATTCTTAGCTTAAATTTAACCAATTTATTTGTAAAAACATAAAGTAATAAAATCTATGTAGTACACAAAATAATAAAGGATATCAAGAAGAATTAAAGAGAAAAAAACATTTTGATGTTCCATTAAATAACATCCTTTTATTGAAGGAATAAAATCAAAAAAGAAAATTTGAAAGGAAAAAATTTTAAAAAATCCTTAAGAAAAATTATTAAAATTTTAATTTAAATTAATATTTAAATTAGTTTAAAATTTAAATTAAAAAGGCAAATCCATTTTTGACTATGAAGATTATGATACAATTCATAGAGTGAATTTCCTTTCAAAAAATTCTTTCTTGCAATAATGCTTAGCGGATACCTAAGATTCCTTTTTTACTTCCAAGATCTTCACTTCCAACATATTAATTTACCTCTTACTATCGATCTTCAAACACATGGAGTAATTATAGGAGAAAAAGAAAGATATGTATTGGCTCTCTAATCCCGCAATTGGCGCAAATCCCAGTGCAATTGAGTGAAGTCTTCCTCAAAATCCTAAAAGTCGCGCACCTCTGCCAGCAGAATATATCCTTTATTTAATTTTAAAATGAGGAAGACTCTCCTTGCAGAAGTAACTGACCTGCTTCTTTAATTTTTCTTCTCCCTAACCTTTTGTCTTACCCAGATATTAAATAATGAATTCAAGATATGATCCTAAATATCAAAAGGTATCTTCACTCATAATACCACTTCCCTTCGATGCCCTTAACAAATCCAAATCAAAGAAATAATCAAAATGTTTTACTCACAAAAACTAAAGTATAATAAACACAAAACCATACAAAACAATACAAAAACGATATATTTATCTAATAACATCCTTTATTCTATCCACTCACATCTCACTTCCATCCTTGTTCAATCTTGTAAGCACGGTATACAATTCTTGGATCTTTCTGAAAAAGGTTATCAAATAAATTAATTCAAGCTAATTCTCACTTTCCAACTGAATGGCTCATTCAACTGTTCCAGACTCAGCTTCGCAAGTTCAGCCTTCAGAAGCGCCGAAATCCGAAAATAGTCAACATTTGTCTTTGAGGAGTTGATGGCCTCTAAGATCTCATCAAACACGACAGGCATATTAGTCAGCAACAAATCACGCCCCAAACCGCGGCAATGGACCTTGAAATCGACTGTAAAGTTGTGCGGAAGCTTGTCCCAGGGCAAATTACCTGTAAAAAGAGAATAAAATTAAAAGTTAGAGTTAATATCACCATTAAAGAATTCGTGACACATATAGAACCAAGATTCGATGTCGTCTTTTGGCTGGTACTCCACCCGGCTGTAATTTGAAATCGGCCTGTAGGCATCAGAGCCTACAATTGGACATGCTCCGAATGGACGTGACTTTTCCCGGCACCGCCGTGCTAATCCAAAGTCAATTATGAAAATTTGGTCATCAAAATCCGAATGAGGCTGTCCAACAACAAAATTGCTCGGATTAATGTTCCGATGCATCCAACTGCGATCATGGAGAGACCAAATACGTGTAAACGTTTTCAGGCAAAGTTTGAGAGCATCTACATGCAACAGACTATGACCCGGGTGAGCTCGTCTGATTCGGTTTAAATCCGTGCCCAGGCGCTGGATCAGAAGGACGCGACTGCCGTTTAAAGTTTTGAAACGATCATATAGTTCCGCGAAACCACGAACACCTTTGCAATCAAGATAAACACGAGCCTCAATGCCCAGAGTTCTCCTGTTAATGATTGAAAATAATTTTAATTTACTAAATATTCTAGACAGGAAAACTCACTTATTTTCATTGTAAGATTCGACTTTCGCCATACACTCGAATGCCGGATTCTTTTTGTTGCGCACAAAATAGACTCTGGTGAAAGGTCCAAAGTGAACAAGACGAAGCGGACTATACCCAATACATCTGATGGTGAAAAAATCACTGTCACGTACCAACGGATCAGCTCCTTGCACTGCAAACTTGGCGTTATCCAGGCTTTCTTTGTCTTCATTTTCTATAGTTGTATGATGAGGCAGCTGCTTCTCAAAGCTTGCATCCGGCGCGCTTGGAACCTGCAATTATCTTGTATCATATGTATGAGATGCACTCAATTAATAAAAACTAGCCTGCTTGGCCTGATAGAGCGTCTCGTTCTCCGCCATCGGCTGCGCCCTTATAGACAGGTCAACGTAGGCGGACTGATCGAAATTCGGCTGCTGTATCACATCGGCTGAGTTGGTAGGTTCGGCTTGACCGCCGTCGACGCAGCAATGGCCAGCAGGTTCGGGCGCAGTACTCTGCTGCTGTTGATTCTGCGATGCTGTATTACATGCGGCAGCAGGTCCGCCTAAGTTGATGTAGTCGGAGTCCATTGAACAGAAAATTGTTGGTAGATTGGGTCTGTTGTCGATGATGGTTGTCCGATGATAACCCGGTTGCTTTTATACACTAGAAGCGTAACTGATTAAACAGGAAATTCACCATTCGCGGGTCATCTTGAGAAGAGCCGGCGGGCCAGACTACACTTATGCATTTCATGTAAAAGGTGGGCCTTTTCCAATGATTTGCGCCCAAGGTCCTCTGGACAGGACGATCGGCCACTTTAGGACAATGTTTGCAGAAACCAACTGTGTGGTGAGGCTTAAATCTTTATTTAAGTCCGCGCAATCGCGCAAAGATAATCAAAATAACTAATTTATGTAACAACTACAAGTTTATGAAATTTTAACTTTGTTGAAAAATACATAGTAGATATTCATTAGAAATTTAGTTAGGATTATTCCGAGTCAACTTTAGGAGGAAATTATACGCCTCTTTCACATTCCAATGAAAATCCTAAATAAAATTACTTAAAATTTTAAACATTAATTTAAATAACTTGGAGCTGATTCTTGTTACAAAGCAATTTTACTTGTTCAGAGCCGTTCTGCGAAATTGCTTGTAATGAAACTTCAGCAAGTGGTTCTTCAATATCAACTTCCCCATTTGACTACAAAATAATAGTTTAAAATTCATTAGACAATTTTTAACCTCAACAACGCTTAGAATGCTCCAATCAATTCCCACCATTTTTGGATAGGCCGAGAGCCCGTCAGACGACATTTCTTCGGATTCTGTGGCCAAAAATAAAAAAATGGAAGTCTGCAAAACTTGGGAATAATTTTACGAAATGGGTATAATTGTTCAAATATTAAATTAAATATTGGGAAGGTACTTTTCCGTTTTGTTACACCCCCCTATATTAATGCTCAAAATGTCACATATGGGGTAATTAAAGGTGCTGAGTCGAACGGTACCCTTCTTTTTCCTAGGAGATGTCTGTGAACCAAGATGAAGGGCTCGAAATGGTCAAAAACCATTGGGCCATTTTGGGGTAAAAAATTCGAATGTGCACATAATAACTCATTCGAAAGAGCTCGACGAGCAGAGTCGAAAGACACCAAAATCACCGTCTTCGAACAAGTTTGGACCGAGTTACGATACAAAAAATTGTGTGGTTCTTCAATTTTCAGGGACCTGAATCTCGGTCAAATCAAATCAGATTTCGTTGAACTTAGTGTCTTTCGACTCAGCTCGTCGAGCCCTTTCGAATGAGTTATTATTTGGATATTCGAATTTTTACCCAAAAATGGCCCAATGGTTTTTGACCATTTCGAGCCCTTTATTCACAGACATCTCCTAGGAAAAAGAAAGGTACCGTTCGACTCAGCACCTTTAATTACCCCATATGTGACATTTTGAGCATTAATATAGGGGGTGTAACAAAACGGAAAAGTACCATTGGGAATTAATCAAACAAACGATTTTAAATGAATCATTTTTTTATAATTTTTCAAAAATATGCAAAAAATATTTTCTCACATACAGCTAGTTAAATGTGAGAAGACCTGTAACAAGAAAAACAAAAAAAAATAAAACATTTTTCTAAATTATCTGATCAATCAGTCTCCGATTTTTGACCAGTTTTTTCAGCATTTTCTTTTGCTATTCTCATCAATTCAACATCCAATCTTTCTTTTGCTCGATAAATCTAAAAAATTAAATTATTTTTCAAAAAAATTAATAACCTTTGCTTGCAAATAAAGCGTTCCGCCCTTAGATTTTTCATTCGCGGAGAAAAGATGTTCATACCTCCGTTTAACTTCCTCTTCATTTGGGGGAGGTTTTATACCAAGAATCTGCATTGCTTCCTATTTTTTAGAATTTATTTGAAAATCACTAAATAATAATTTACTTGTGTTGATATTCCCATTCGCAAGTCAGTCTCAATTATTCCATTTCGCCTTTGCCTAGCATTAAACACATTTGGACTTTCAGAAGAAGGCTGCCTTGCTGCAGCTTGTCTGGTGGCTGTAAATATAATGATAACTATCCATTATCAAAAAATCCTTACCATTTAATTCTTCACTAATTGCTCTCCTCAAAGCAGTAAAAACAGCGCCAGCACCGGCAGCTGCAACTCTGGCTAGAGCTTTCCAAACCATCAAATAAAATTTATAACAGATAAAATCAAACTGAGAGATCAAAAAAACTAACTGGCAATGTTAAAAGCTTTAGGAAACAAATAATAAAAATACCATAAATATTTTATTCCTAAAGTAAAAAATTGAAAAACAACAACAAAAACAGTCAAATCATGGAATCAAAATAAATATTTAAATGATGATTATAATGAAATTTCATTGTTAAAGTATCAAATCGAAATTCAATAACAATTCATTTTTCAGCTCTTAAATATTAAATGTCATCAGTACATTCCGCCCATGCCTCCCATTCCACCCATGCCTCCCATTCCGCCACCAGCAGGCATTGCCGGTTCTTCTTTAGGCACTTCCGTGATAACACATTCAGTGGTAGATAACAATGAGGCGACACCAGCAGCATCTTGAAGAGCCGTTCTGATGACCTTTGTTGGATCACTGAAAGTTTTTAAATCTCTTTTATAATTATTCTAACATAATAAAATAATTGGGCCTTACATAATGCCAGCTTCAAGCATATCAACAAAGGAATCCTTCATTGCATCATAACCAAAGTTGATGTTTGAATTAGCAAGAATCTTCTCTACAATCCCTGAAGGTTCAAGTCCGGAATTAGCAACAATAGTAGCAATGGGTTGGCGAACAGCTTTTTGAACAATTTTTATTCCTAGATTAAGAGGCGTTATTAGAATGAAAAATTTGTTTATTAATAAAACCAAACCTTTTAACTGGTCATCATTGGGAGCCTTAATATCGTCCAACTTTTTAAGTGCACGAAGCAAAGCAACACCGCCTCCTGGAACAATTCCTTCCTCAACAGCTGCGCGAGTAGCACACAAAGCATCAGTCACGCGATCCTTCTTTTCATTAACCTCAACTTCACTTGAACCACCAACTTTAAGAAGCGCTACACCAGTAGACATTTTGGCCAAACGTTCATTTAATTTTTCCTTAAATTAACTTTATGTAATTAAATCCACATTTTAAACCTTCTCATAATCAGATGTTGAATTTTCAAGCTCATCTTGAATCTGAGCGATTCGCTTCTCAACATCTTTTTGGTCACCTTTACCGCGAAGAATCAAAGTATCGTCCTTAGTAATAGTGACCTCATCAGCCTCACCAAAGTCCTTAAAATTGAAATATTGAATATAAAATAATCAAAACAAACGTGATTCTGAATCTCCTCCAATTTGATCAAAGTTGCTTCTTCACCGAAAACAGTTCCACCGCAAGAAATTGCCCTAAAATCAATAATAATTTAATCAAGATCTAGGTAACTTACATGTCTTTCAAAGTATTCTTACGGTTATCTCCGAATCCGGGGGCCTTAACTGCACAGACTTGAAGTCCAACCTTCAGACGGTTCAACACAAGTGTGGTAAGTGCTTCACCATCAACATCCTCAGCAATAATAAGCAACGGACGTCGATATTTATTAGCCAATTCAAGAGCAGGAACAATATCCTTTAAAAAATTTTATTCATAAAAAAATTTTTTTTATCTAAGATTACTTGAACTTGACTTATTTTCTTCTCACAGAAGAGGATGTAGCACTTCTCAAATTCAACCTTAGCGCCTTTAGCCGAATTGATAAAGTATGGAGAGATATAGCCTCTATCGAACTTCATCCCTTCAATAAGTTCAAGCTCGTCTTGCAAAGTCTTTCCATCCTTTACAGTAATCACTCCCTTATTGCCAACCTAAATAAGTAAAAATACTAATAAAAAGTATTCTAAATTATCTATGACAGACTTTCTTCATTGCCTCCGAGATCAATTGTCCAATTGATTTGTCACCATTTGCAGAAATTGTCGCAACCTGGGCAATCTCTTCAGGAGTTGTAACAGTCTTGCTCATATTCTTCAATTCCGTCAAAATAACTTCAACAGCCTTCATAACACCATTTCGGATTTCTACTGGATTTGCTCCCTTGCTGATGATATCAAAGCCTTCCTTAGCAATAGACCTAGCGAGAACAGTGGCACAAGTTGTTCCATCACCAGCCTCCTCATTTGTTTTATTAGCAACATCCTGATGAAGATGTGATTAGTTAATCAAAAATCTCAAACCTGCACGAGCTTAGCACCCATATTTTGGCACTTGTCCTTAAAGTCAATAGCTTTTGCAACTGTAACACCATCTTTTGTGATTTTTGGACTTCCCCACGACTGTTCAATAATCACATTCCTTCCCTAAAAACAAAAATCTTATAGTTAGTGCAGACCTTTTAAACTGAAACCTTCGGTCCCATTGTCACAGCGACGGCATCAGCAAGCAAATCAACACCAACAAGCATAGCTTTCCGGCCTTCAGAGCCAAATTTGAGATCCTTTGCATAACCACGAACTGAAGTCTTCAAGACCCTACTTAGCATTTTTGTTGTAATAAAATTAAATGTACTGAAATTGTTATCAGTTAAGAAAAAATATTAACTATATGTAAGTAAAAACTTTGAGAAAAAGTAAGTTACACTCTAACCTATATTTATCGGACTGACCTAGGTCAACTTTTCATTTTAGTATCTGCCTACCCAAAATTTCTCGAACATTCGCTTCTTATTTCTTTTAGGGGTCCAGCCCAAGTAGGCGCGCGGCCATAACGGCGCAAAGCCATAACTTGCTTCAAGATTTCCAAATCTTACCAAATTTAGCATTAAACAAATCCTCTCGTCGAGCTAGAGAGAATGGTACCAAAATTGAAAGGGCCAGAAATTTTCCAGCAAGTTATAGCTTTGCGCCGTATGGCCGCGCGCCTACTTGGGCGTCCCTTCTTTTAGCAATTTAAAAATTTGGCGAAATGTTTCTACTAGAGAAGCGAAAATTCTAGAATTGCAGTGAATAAGAGTAAATTATTTATTTTTATCTTGCAATTTCGAGTTTTTTTTTCTTGCTTTCTTAACTTTATTTTTATATTATTTATTTTTCAGATATTTTTATTTTGACTTTAATATCTTTGTTTGGTTACTATGTTGCTCTCTATTGTGCGGAAATCGGTTCATTTTACTTCATTTATTAATTTAATACTTCCGTTTTAGGCAGCTGCCAAAAGCTTCAAGCCCTTTTTTGACCGCATTCTTGTCGAGCGTCTTGCACCTGAAACAAAGACTAAAGGAGGGATTATGATTCCTGAAAAGGCGCAAGGCAAAGTGCTTGAAGGGACTATTGTTTCTGTTGGCCCTGGTTATCGAACTGAAGATGGAAAGACTTTGCCAATGCAATTGAATGTTGGCGATAGAGTTCTTCTTCCGGAATATGGTGGCAACAAAGTTATTTTGGACGATAAGGAATATCACATTTTCCGCGAATCTGACATTATGGGAAAATTTGAATAATTACATTAAATGATCAACAGCGATTGACATCTCCACATTTTTTTCACTTTGTTAAATTTTTTGTTCTGTTTAGGAGTAAATATTTATTTTTGAATTGACTTTAACTGATTTATTGCGTTAATTCGCATTTTATTTACTGATATTGTTAAATCATTTAATACTCAGTTTTTTACCTCCATAATGCATTAAAAGCAAATAAAATTTTGCTGGGTTTTTTTGACATTAAACGGCTTCTGTTATAATTTAATCAATGATTTTACTAGCATATTGTTTTTTAAATTTATTTTTAGACTAAAATAAAACGAGTGAATTCATTTCATCAATTATTATTGTTCGAGATGGCAAAGTCAAAGAACCACACAAATCATAATCAGAACAGGTAATAAATCAAACGAAATTTGGGCCATGTTTATCTAGTTCAGTGGCAACTCGACGATTTTTCGGGGGTCACAAGCAAAATCCTCGTAGTTATCTAGTTTAGGTTTATAATAGAAACTTGTGGACTTGAAAACAAATATGTACTAATATCCCAAAATTTAGCAAGGATCATCGCAATGGAATTTACAAACCGAAGCGTCAACGCTATCAATCAATGAAAGGGGTTGATCCAAAGTTTTTGCGAAATCTGCGCTTTGCGAAGAAACACAACAAACGACACCCAAAAGTTGAATCGAGTGCTTAGATGATTTGGATTCTATCTTCATGTCGATACAATTTTGTATTGAAATATTGTTAAATGTTAAACCGAAAAATTTAAAGTAAATTTATTTTGTTGTTGCTCTATATTGTGATAATGATTTTGAACTTTATAGTTCCTTCTCATTTCTTCCCAATTTTCATTTTTGCCTAAACCTATCACAGTAGGTTTTATCTTAAACATGCTGAATAAATTTTTGGCTTGATTGGTTTTACTAGCCTATGCAAAAATTAAAGTTGGGCAGAACACTGGGACCATAAAGTTCAAGATTACCAAGTTATTTTAAAAGTATTCTGAGTACTCGAAACATTTTTTCACTTGAAGACCACGTAGATTAAGACATACTTCGGACATTTTACTGATTTTAAATTATCTTTTCAAATTCAATTTGAGCGACCCTAATAGACACACAACGAACTATAAATCTAGAAGTATTTATTAAAACACGTCACTGCAAACAAATATCACGAATTAACAATCTATATTATTTTTTGCACAAAGGTTCTTTTCACTTATTTCTCTCCTTTTGCTGTCTTCGCTAACTTCATAAGTCCTTCAGTACTGTGTGATTTAGGTCGTTCAAGTGGCAATCCCATTCCACGCGCCCAAATCATTTGTGATAAGCAACCCAAAGCTCGAGAAACACCAAAAAGGACGGTGTAGTAACTCATCTCTTTCATTCCAAAATATTGCAGAAGAACCCCAGAATGTGCATCAACGTTTGGCCACGGATTCTTTGCCTTTCCTTGCTCCAATAGAATGTTTGGTGTTATCTTGTAGAGGTCAGAAACAAGTTTGAATAGCGGATCCTTTGGCAAATGTTTCAAAGCAAATTCACGTTGACAAGTGTAGCGAGGATCGGTCTTTCGAAGTACGGCATGTCCATAACCAGGAACGACCTTAAGAATTCCTAAATATAATCAAGTTCTACGAATTTACCTTTCCACTCTTGAGATGATCCCAGACCCATCGTTTGAGCTCCTCTTCAGTATAGTCGTGTCCAACTTCGCCAACTAATTTTGTGAGGAAAACGAGAACTTCCTATTAAGAAAAATAAAAAAAAATTTTTAATTTAAGAATTTCTGTCAATTTTAAGACTTCCATAACCCTCATTTTTTATAATATCCATTGAAATTCAACCTGATTTGCCAATCCATGAAGAGGTCCAGCGAGACCCGACATTGCCGCAGAGAAAGAGAGGTAGGGATCCGAAAGAGCCGATCCAACTAAATGGCATGTATGCGCAGACACATTTCCTCCTTCATGATCAGAATGAATAACCAAGTAAAGTCGCATCAACTCGACAAATACAGGATCGGTATAACCAAGCATCGAACAGAAATTAGCAGACCAATCCTTATTGACGTCAATAACTCCCACAGATGTTCCCTCACGATAAAGATTTCTAAAAATAAAGTAAATATTAATTGCTGATGAAAACTAGAGATCGGCCTGGGTCTGGACCAAGGCCTGGATTTTTCCTGTACTCAAAGTCCAGGCCAGAGTCAATGAATCAAATCAATGAATCTAATGAAAACGCCCTTTATTTCCCTTCAAAAAATTCCCTAAATAATTAGAAAAAACCTATAAATAGTAGCTGCAATAGTAGGCAATTTTGCAAGTAAGTTCATTGAATCCTCATAAGTATACTCCCAGTAAGTACTCTTTGCTACACCCTTAGAATATGCTTGCGCAAATTTAGATTCAGTCTGCAATGCTGCAATTGCCGCAACAAATTGTGCCATTGGATGGAGATTTGGTGGCGTAGTTTCAAGCAATTGAGCAACATGATCAGGCAAATCTGCACGTGCTGCCCATTCCTTACTGATTGCATTTACTTGTTTCTATTAAAAATTGAAATATATCCAAATAATTTTTAAAGTTATGATAATTAGAGCAATTAGTGAAAGAGACATTGGAAGTGAAGGCTTATAAAAATGCGTGGTTTAACAAAGATAGAAGGAAAATATGGGTAATACTTGGCTGACGCCCTTCCCCTTCTTTCCTGTTTCCTTGAAATAGGAAAGTAGTTAAAGACATGTTTCACCCTTTGCTTTGTTTTATCGGAATCGTTAAGATTCTACCTAATTTCCCATAGCATTAATTTGAAAAATTCTAATTTAAACCTGATCAGGAATATCTCCAGTACACAACAACCACCAAATTCCTTCAGGCAAAGGCTCGCTTCCCCCAGCAGCTTTAGGTAACTTTTCTTGACATTCAGGTATAGAATAACCACGGAAACGAATTCCCTCATCAGGATCAAGAACAGAAGTCTCACAAACCATAGCCTTCAAAGAACGCATTCCTCCATATATCTTTAAAATTTCAAAAAATTCTAAAGAAAAACAACAAAAGAAAACCATATCAACAGTAACACTCTGAACTATTGCATCTCCATAACCTTTGCGGAACTCAGCAACTTTCTTATTATGTTCAGGAATCTTTTTTGCCAACACTTCCTTTAGATTAGTCGAATAATCCGCAACAACAGAATAATAATGTGTTGAGGAAAAGTTGACCAAATTCTAAAAGAAATGTTTAAAAATTTATTTGAAAGTAACCTTGAACAAAAAGAAATTGTTCCGAAGAGTTATCCCAGCAACAGACATTATGCAATATTCCTTTGATTTTAGAATTTATTAATTAAAAATATGGCCCTTAAAATTATTAGAAAAAACAAAAGAATTTTAAAAAGAACACAAAACAAATGAACTTTAAATAATTGCTAATTGTGAGTAAAAAGAATGGCTGTCAATTTCATTCAATAAATTTTAGATTTAAAAGAATAGAGATAGACAGTTGGAGAAAAAGCTTTTGGATTACATCACTCATTTGTTCATGTCAGAGTTAAAAGGTTAAAAGATCATTTTTTAAAGGAACTTTTAATTTTCAGAAAAAATTGTGAGGAGGCAAGGGGAAAATGTGTTGCACTATTTGTGTTAAATTTTGGTATTGTACACATTTTCTTATTTTTGACCTTTTGACCCCAATACATAAAAATTTCCAAAAATCAATTTTACAAAATCCGGGACTTAATAATCCAAAAATTTTAGCCTGCAGTGCTGAAAAAAAGGAATTTTGATTTCGTGGATATCTGAAACAACAGAGAATATCCTTTTATAATAAATAAGGCTGTGATTCATAGGCAAATGCCTATTTTTTCTGCAAGCTTGGGATGATGTAATACGTTCAAAAAACGTGTTTTTAGCTTGGTCCGATAAGTCTAGCATGACTTTTAATTTGCCTATTTCTGCCTATTTTTGACTTTTTGTGCCTTTCTGCCTATTTTGAAATTTTTGGTACTATTTTTGCCTTTTTTAGCGATTTTTTCGAAATTTTGCCTAAAAATCAGTGCAAAATCTAAAAAAATCAGTCCCAAATTAGAAAAAATAGGAGCCAAGTCCCATTATTGATTTTTAGTTCGATAAATTGTTTATTTTTACTCTGTTGGACATTTTGAACTGGGACGATTTGGTATTGGGACGTTTTGGGGTGCGGCGTTTTGTGTGTTGGGCGAGATTTCCATTTTGTCAATTATCGACATTTTAAAAAAATTTACTCCATTTTTTTCAAAAAATGATTCAAAATGACGAATAAATGGTAAAATTGTTTAAAAAATAGTTTATAATTTAAAAAATGACGATTAAATGGTTATTTTTTCTGTTTTTATCTCCATTTTATGGTCTAATAACCTTTTTTACATGCCTATTTTTGTGCCTTTTTCGGCTTTTTGGTGCCTATTTTAGGCGCCTATTTCACTGATTTTACTTGCCTAACTATCACAGCCTTAATAATAAAGAACTTAATTTACCATTACCATTCTTTTGGAGGTTATAAAGTTGGAAAATGAATGGAAAATAAACAGAATAACATAGAAATTTCTTGAAATTAATTAAAATATGCAACATAGGAAAGTAATCATAAGTGTAAAATTATTTCTCGTTTATGTCTCGTGCTTCGCCTTATAAATTATATATCGAACGATTGGGGTTATCAGTACACGTAATCAATCTTTCACTCAATCGTGGTTTTTCGTGTATTCAAAAGAATTCAAAAGAATTCTGGTTTTTGGTTTATTTTTTATCCAACTAAAAAAACTTTTATTGAAAATTACAACCATTATTTAGAAAAACCAATAAATTAAAGTATTACCCTCCTTCAAGAAAATTAAGTTTCAAAGTTTTTCATATTTTATTTTAACAAAACAAAAAAATATTTATTTACATTCGAGTAATTTAAATAATTACAACGGCACAAATGTTTATTAAAATTTTCAAAAATAATTTTCACCCAATATTTCCAATATCCACAAGACGAAAAGCTTCAAGTAATTCATTTAAATCAATAAAGCCGTCTTTATTGAAGTCAATACTTAAAAATATTTTTTATTAATTTTTGTCAATAATTTTCCCTCAAAACCTTTCCCCAATACTTTTTATCCCTTCTTCTGATAAGTCAATTCTGGCATATTGGCCAAGTACTTGACATGCCTCCGTAAATTCTTTCATCGATACCAAACCTTTAATTAAAATTATTTTTCTCATTCTTAGAATTTAAAAATTCACCAGAATTATCTTTGTCCATAAATCTAAAAAGAGTTTCCAAAGTATTTTTGTGTCTGTAGAGAGTTTCTGTTATTCTAGTGCTTTCCTAAAATTTAGAAATATTCCTCTTATTTTTTTCTAAATTTTCTCTTTACATGTCCCCCCATTGTCTGTTCAGATATTCTTCCATTACTGCTTAATTGAACACGTTGGTGATGTTTGTACAATACTTGTTTACCATCTTCAGTAAGTCTAGCAAGGCGTGAAACTAGAACACGCCATGGCACAGCCAAATTGGTAATTCTTTCAACAGTTGCGCACCATTGTGATAGGGATATTTGGCCTTTTAATGATTATAAATTATTTTGTTGAAAGGGAATGCCACTACAAGGAGAATTGACCATTTTTAATAAAGGAGAAAAAATGAGGAAAAAATCAAACCGTCCTTATTTGGATATACATATTTAGGGCAGAGAGAATATCTACTATTTGAAATTTTTAAAGATCCCTATTTTGAAAACATTTTTTTCTAAAATTTTTTTGAAGAATTGTCAATTTTATTATTTTCTATAAAATTTCTAATTACAAAAATTTCTCTCTCTTTTTTTTCTCTTACCAGTTCCAGTAGAATCTATTTTCATAAATTCTTTTTGTAATTCAGTATTGAATGAAACCAATTTTTCGCTAAGTTCTTTAATAGCAGCTTGTTCAACAATACTTAATCTTTATAAAATAAATATTTTATTTTTAATTTTTCTTTTTTTTCTACCTTTCTCTAACAGTAATCCTTTTGTGTATTTTACTAGCCATATATTGCTAATAATTAAATAATTAATTTTTAAATTTTAATTAATTTACCACAAAATGTGGAACTTTTTCTTTTCCAAGAAATTTAACATAAGCACCTCTATTACTTCCTGTTTCATAATAATTACTGGCAGAAAATATTGTTAAAACTTTATTGTCGTGGGTGAACTCATAACCTATAAAATATTGAAAATATTATATTTATTGTCGGAGTTGTATTTGGATAATATGTACAGAAGATAATTCAAGAAGAGGCAAAATTATGAGCACCCCAACTAACTTTTCCCCGATTAACGGGCTATTTAGAGGTCACAAAATTAAACTCAATTACCCTCATATTTGCATTCATGACTTCGTACCAACATTAAAAACCCATTACTAAAATTTTAGAAATTTTAAGGAAATCCTTTTATTTTTTAAACTTTTCCAAGAATTTCTTTGTAATGTCAGGCCCAAAATAACTGCCACCACCACGGAATGCATTTGGCCAGCAACCATTTTGAGGTTTTGGATCACTCCAAAGAACGTCAAGAATTTGGCGCCACTTAAATTTATTCTTTACTGTTCACCTCTATTTTATAAACTCTCTATATTGAAGACTCTCTTTGTAACTACTATTTCTGGATTTGTCCGGTAGTTTGGAGAATTTGAAAAAAATTCTCTCAACATTATAAACGATTTTTACAACTATGAGAGAATTCACAAAATAAACAATTCAACTATATTCTCTCAAAATTTACCTCTTCAACGTCAACAGAGCTTTTCCCTAATTTATTTCCACCAACAGGAGGGCGTAGAATTGAGAGATACTATAGAAGAAGAATATTTTTATTTTAAAAATAATTATTTTTAAAACCCTATTTCTCGGAATCTTTTCTAGAAAATTTAAATCTGTTCGGTCAGAAACACCTCCATGAGTTATAAAAAGATCCTAAAAAATAATTATTTTAAATAAATATTTCTTTGAAGAAGAACTCTGTCAACAACTGTAGCCAACGGCAACCAAGAAAAAATATCTTCCAACATTCGAATTACTGCTGCCGCTGAATCTTTATATTTTGTTTGTAATTCTTTAATAAATCCATATCTTTTAAATAAAATTCATTTTCTTCTATGTATTTATTCTTAATATTTACCTTAAATTCATTATGTGATCCTAAAAAAATTTTAAAAATATTTTTGGGAATTTTAAAATAATTTTACTTCATGATTCCCTCTATTTAAGGCAACTGCGGTTGGGTGTAAAATTAATAAAGCGAGTAAAACAACAAAAACTTCCTAAAAATAAAAAAGTTATAAATTAAGGGTGTATCTTTATTAATCCCTCCCCCTCTCCAATTTTAAATTATTAATCTAATTTTAGAAAATCGGTTTTGGTTTTTGGTCAAATGTACGTTTTGTTTTGTGAGGAGGTAAAAAGGTAATCTTCTAGTTTACTGGTCCCGAGAAAAAAATTAGGAAGCAGTGCTGTTTCGATATTTTTGAGGGTTACCAGTAGGTAATCGAGTGTGCTGAGTCCGAATCTGAGCTTAGAAATTGCTTATTTTGAATCACGGACCCAGATTCGACCAAGTCGAATTAGGGGTAAACACTTCGAAATTGAAAATTTAGGGATAATCTGACACGACTATTCTAGTCCAAAGCGTGTATTTAATTGACCAAGCGTGTATTTAATTGACCATAACTTCGTCCGATTTGTCGAAACTGGACAACTCAGCTCGAATAAAGGGCTAATAATAGCCCTAAATTTTTAATTTCGAAGTGTTTACCCGAATTCGACTTGGTCGAATCTGGTCCGGGATTTAAAATAAGCCATTTCTAAGCTCAGATTCGGACTCAGCACACTCGATTACCTACTGGTAACCCTCAAAAATATCGAAACAGCACTGCTTCCTAATTTTTTTCTCGGGACCAGTAAACTAGAAGATTTCCGGTAAAAAATCACTTCAGAAATTACTAGTTTTCGGTATTTAAATTTTAATTAAACCGGTTAATATTGGCAAAGAATTCCA